CTAGGGCTGCACGATTAATCGAATGCGATTGTCATGCACATCTTGTCAGTAAAGCCAGTTCTGTGATTAGTAGTAAATCTCCATCACCTGCTTTCAGATGGAGCAGCATTTACTACACAGAGCCGTAGTTCTCTGACAAGCTACGCAAAAAAACTGCAGACGATATAATCGTACGATTATGAAATCAAAGAAATCGTTCGCGATAATGACAGTTGTTTGCGTAGCTTCTCAGTGAACTACAGCTCTGTGAAGTAAATGCTGCTCCATCTGAAAGCACGTGAAAACACCACATTTAATAACATGTTTTTACTCCAAACTCACTTCATAACGTCAGCCGAGTGTTTGAAATAAATCCTTCTGTGAGATGATGTGGCTTCTTACACAGAAATAGGCATGCAACGTATTTCATAGTATTCTAAGTAGTGATAAAGGCTATGTCGATTAGCATTGCATTATAGATATACTTTATTGTAATGAAAATTATAATAAGAAGAACTCAGATAAAGCATATATTGCCGTAGTCGTGTGTCCTCTGGCCTTCGGATGGAGATTTACTGCTGATCACAGAACCGTGCTTCACTGAAAGATACGCATGACAATCACAGCTTCTGTCTAATAGCGATTTCACGATTTCATTTCGATTTATCGTGCAGCCCTAGTGAACTATCCTTTTAATTATGATGATCAGTGCAAAGGCACATTAATAATTAATCAAACAAGCCAAAAACAGCAGGCTGCAACTAGATAGTTAGGATAATTGTTGCATAGGTTTGCATCATCACCCTAAGAATGTGTTTTGATGTTGTAGCCAAGTTTACACTATATATGAAATATAGAAATCTATATATATCTTAACAGGTTAAACACTGATTGAAAAATATGGCACTGAAAAAATGTGTTGCTTTGTAAGTAAGGCTTTGTATTTTTATTAGCTGTGCATTTAAGCTGTTTAATAAAGGCAAGTGGTGTAAATGATCTAACTAGCATGCATAGCATCATTATTCTTTGCAATTCCTTGTGAATGTAGTATCTACATGGTCTGTGGTTTTAGCCTAGCCCATTTTGGCCTTAAGATCAGCTAGTATACACTCAGCCTCGTTTAAACTCAATGGAGTCTCCGGAGGTCTCAGAAGACACGGCTGAGACACTTCACATGCATTCACCCTTTTAAACAGTCTGTTCCGGTCCACACGTAACACCCACCCCGGCTCCATGTGGAAAGCTACACACACATGATCCCACAAATAGTATTCTTCTCTGTGGGGGCTCACATGAACACTACAATTCAACTTGTTCACCTTAAGCTTCAGCTTGTAGGTTTCAGAGGGGGCTTGACAGCACCACCACAAAGCCCCATCATAGTACCCACACACACCGTCCTCCCGATTGGGCAGTCGAGGATAACTGTCATAAAGATTTATGTCACGAGGATGCACTACAACCTTATAGAGAATCTCTCGCCGGTAGAGCCCAGTCTCATACACACGCAGAACTGGACTTTGGTCACCACAGAACTGCTCACCATAGAGCCAAAGTAGCTCCTTAAGTGAAAAGATGAAGCGGAAGTTTCCATAGGAAGATTTTTCCTGGAAGGCCTTTGAGCTGGTGAAGTGCTCAAGGACGGGTGGCTGGTTGCGAATTTGGGCAGAACTTCGATGAGGGAATAAGGACGCGAGGAAACGCTCCTCAGCTGAGGATATGTCATCAGATGTGACTGCTAAATCCCACCAGAGGAAATGGGGCTGATCATTAGCCACCAGCTCCGGTGGCTGTCTGAACCCTGAATCGAGAAAAATAGCCCTAAGACCACTTTCCCCAGTGACATGAGACACTTTCTGTACACGGAACTCCACAGATTCAGGATAAGCAGGGATGTTGTTCTTATACAGGTATCCGTTCCGTAACTCCATTTCTTTTAGGTCCCAAAGACTCAGATGCTGTCCCTCAAAGTATGTCTCTGTAACATTTCGGTTATTTGTGCGTCTCATTTTCTTTCTGAAACAGAGAAAAAGATGAACGTTATCTTATCATCTGTTTTACAAGGTCACTCAGCATTTTCCTCTTGCAAACCACCAGGGTTGGGGAGTAACGGAATACATGTAACGGCATTGCGTTGTATATCAGGATACAAAAATCTAGTACATCAAAAAACAAAGTATTCAGATTACAGTTACATTTTGTAAAAAGTGGGAATACCATCAGGATTACATTTGTTTCATTTAAGATTAAATAAATGAGTATTTTGACATAACGCTATATTTAGCGCCGCTGGTTCTGTTGACACTCATGTTGACTCACGTGAGCCACCGTGCGCAAATATCACCCGTCTACAATTATTCTCCTCAAACGCGGGATGACTGCTAATAGCCACTAGATGTCTGCATAGCCTTTTATATAAATATATATACGGGCTGTAATATCTAGATGGTGAAACAAGACACAATTTTTAATAGTTTCAAATAGTTTTAAACATGGGTGTAGCTTGTGGGGGGGCCAGGGGGGCCTGGCTCCCCCATAGCGATTTAAGAATTGTACTAAATATTTATTTATAAAGTTTTTTCTATGAAGTAAAAATGCATATAATGCAGTTAATAATACATGTAAAAGTGAATACGTAAAAGTTAATACATTTTAAATTGTTATTGTAAGTAAATTAATAAATCAAAACAAACTTAACGTCTCCCTCAATCTCATTTGCGTAAGAATTGTCACGTGACGAATCTGCATTTTGGTGGATAATAGACTTAACGGTAATGCTTGCCTGTTGTGTGGAATAAAACGATGTTCCCCGTTTTTAACAACATACACGAACTGCAGAGAAATCTGGAGACAACGAAAAACTCAGATGAAGATATTAATGCCGTGCTTAATGATTCCGGACCCGGACAATCAGATAAAGGTGATCCACAGGACGCAGCCGGTTTAGCCGCACACTACTTTTATGCCGACCATTTACATCCAAATGTTATTTAATTTTCACAGAACACAACCTTTAAATAGATTTTAGAATATAAACTGTTTATCGTCTATTCAATAAGACTAAATAAAAAGTGTGCGCCTCATTGTGCATTAACTTGAATCAAGCCCAACAAATGTCTGTTTTAAAAACAGTGGATGAGTAAAAAAAAAATAAAAAAAAAAAGCAACACACTTATTATACAGGGTTAAATGAAAACAGGACAAGAGCATTATCAGCATTAAAGTGTCTATTCTGCAACAGTAATTGGTTTCATATTCTCCTTGATTTGCTTAATAAAAGCCTCCTTTGAGATCGTTTTGACAGAGATGTTTATTGTGCATTTTAAACGTGTTTATTGCTAAGTTTAGTGTGGCAAAATAGAAGCGCAGCTGTAATTCGTGGGCAATGTATGTGGTTACCATGACAACCTCACGCACTTGCCACTGCTCTATGTGAATATGTAGATTTACTATAGCAAAACGCTCCGGTTACTATCGTAACCTCGGTTCCCTGAGAGCGGGAACGAGACATCACGGAGATATTTCTGGTTGGAAGGGAAGGAGTTCCCATAACGGAGAAATATCTCCGTGATGTCTCGTGAAAGCTCGAGAGGGAACTAAAATGTGTTTAAAAGTAACGTTACGTCTGACCAAATCCACCGGTTCGGTTTGGCCCCCCCAAACTCAAACGTCAAGCTACGCCTATGGTTTTAAAATACTTTTTTAATCGTTTTAATTTTAAAGTCATAATTAAATAAATGTACTTTGATATTGCTTTTTCGACTTTATTTACATATTTGACTTGAAGTAATCCAAAAGTAATCAGATTACATTACTTTTATATTGTAGTACTTGGATTACGTTACTGAATACTTTTTTTAATGAAGTAATTTGTAACTGTAATGGAATACATTTTAAAAGTAACTCTCCCAACCCTGCAAACCACTGATAGCAGCTCTAAGCAACTCACTAGTATAGTTTTATTAGGATTTCCAGCAAAAACAAAAATCCACTATGAAAAACTTAGGTTTGCTGGTTTAGTCAGGTGGTCTGATTGCCTTGACAGTCTCTGCTTTTGAACGTTATTTAGAAGAAAAACAGGTGTACATTCAAAAAGAGGAAATAACACTTTTTTGTGTGTGCAACGGTTTACATTGAATGTGCTGCCTTCAAAATTCGATAAGAAGAAGGTACCTCCGGAGACAGGAAGTGAAGCAGAATTTGTATTCTGACGTGCCTTGATGCCTTCATGCCTTGAAATGCTGCCTCCGAAAGCAGCATTTTAGAGCTTTCGGACGCAGCGTATATCTCAGGGTTGTGACAAAGGCGGATTAAAAAATGGTCTTGGTGGCGCCACAAACTTAAGTTTTATGTGTTTGACAAACAAATCGAGTTTATTAAAATCATTAAAAACAAACAATTATTAGCAGTCGCACAAATATGCCATCATCTGTCATTGTCAACATTACATGAATGCTTTTTATCATAAATACACTTTTGAGGGATTGTAATGATGGCGAACATTTTAAGTTTCGATTTTACCACATTTACTTGATATTAAAAGTGACGGCTAAACTGTGGTACGTTACTGACAAAACGATCGTTCAAAGCCGTGCATGAATAATACATTACATTAATCATTAATATGTGAATATAAAACTATATTACAATTTTCCCCCCGTAAAAACAAGTATGTTACCTGCTACCAGAGATACGCTATTTTCAGATTGTACTTCTTCTGCCCCCAAAGAAACACTGCACGAAAGCGCGGGAGTTTTTTTTCTTCTTTTTTTTCCCCCTTCTTTTTTTTCACCGCATTCCCCGCCTCCTGGCTGTTTCAAAAACAAACAATAGCAGAAACGAAAGCTTGAACTGATCAAAATCTTCCAAATAAAGTCACTCAAAGTGTTTAAAACCAAATTCCAATAGGCAATTTGGCCAATAATGTTCCACCTCAGCAAATCGACGCCTACCAGACGTTAGGAACTCTTTTATATGCTTATTGTGAACTGTGTGAACATCTTTAACACCTTACCTTAGGTGAAACGACCACAAAGCAACTGCTCTTTCATTACCGATATGAAAAAAGACCCGGCCATTTAGACAACAGCCCTACATGTTTCTCACAACATATAATTTGTTACAAATTTTGTTACATTATTTAGTCATATTAAACAGCTCTGTATGATAATTGATTCTGACTGGTTTAATATGGCATTGAGCAGACAAATATTTATGTACATGTAAACACAATGTATATACATTTGCATTACTTTAGACCCCACAATAAAATAAGGGAACAAATGATCATGCAGACTTAAAGGCAACATTTCAGGTGTCTAATGTTCTTGTTGTCGCACCATGCGAGTTGTTAATAATTCTATTGCAATGATATCCAGTAAGTACAGGGCCCACTCCTGTCTGCACATCACATGTGGGGAATTCCAACAGTTACCGGTACTAACAATTTTTTTAACAAGATTTTGAGAATAAAGTTAAGTCAGCATACTGGCAATAGAGAGACACACAACAATTGTGTGGCAAGTTCTGTTTACAGATGCTTCCTTGAGCAGTTTGCCAGCTCTCTTTGAACACCCCAAACAAAACAGAGAACTATAAATTCAAAGCAATAAAAACTTCATGGAAATTTTGCAAGGCACTCTTTGTGTGACCGGAACGGTCACATCTCATCTGGGGCAAGATATAACATTTGCCAGAGAGCTTAGCAAGCAGGGCACATCATCAACAGAACAGAATTATCTATAGTTTGAGACCTTTATTCTTGTCTATTCTACTGACATGGGAATGAGACCATCTTTCCAATTACACCAGAACATTAATAATAATACCAAACATGAAAGGGTTAAAACTATGTATTACTGAGATATAAGCATTTTTGATGAACTTTCATTGACTTGCCCAGGTGGGAAAAAAAAGAGAGAGGGGGCTGGTAGATAAGTGGGCAGAGAAAATAGGGCAAAAACCTGACTGTGATCTGTGAACTCTTCTGCATGCAGTTTTAGAGATTTATTGTTTTATTGCATGGGGTCTGTTCCAGAGCACAGTCTAATGAAGAGGTCAGACCATTCTTACACAGTACAAGATGAGCCAGGCATGTCAGAGTCAGCATTTCCATAGGTTTGATCTTCTTGTAAGGGAATTTGGACCCCTCCTCAGAGGTTTCAGCAACCACCTTGCTGGCGTCAGTCTGGATCATAACAAAAGATAGAGAGAATGGGAGATAGAAGAGAAACACACACACACACACACACACTCCTGGAGTTGCTGTTATATGTCTTTTTTCCAAAACAGTGGAGATAAGGTGAACTTTCACACAGAAGTCTGAACAATATTACTTATATACAATATTAGCGTTTTAATAATAAAACTCTTTTCTTCAGTAGAATGTGGGACTATGTGGAATGCGAGACTAACTGTAAAGAAAGAGACTAGAGACAGGCCTCCCTGACCTATGTGACCTTCAGCACTTAGATTGCCAGACATCATGACAGTTAACATGAAAATATGTGCCTCCTTGACCGTATGTATGTGCATAGATATATCACTTCTAGTAGTGATAAGAGAATTAAAAAACCACTCATTAAATCAATTTACACACTCTATTCTAAATTTACTTTACTAAATAAAGGATAAATACTGATTTTAAAAAGGCAGTGATATTGAATTTAATGCAGTGTAAAAGAATAGAAACTAATCAGCATAATACAGGTAATTAAAAGAGGAATAAAAACATTTAAAAAAACATAAATAAAGAAAGCAAAGTAAATCATACTGCATTCCCACTATTAACCACTAGTCTACAAAATGTGACATGGTTCAAGGTTACCCAAATGTTATCAAATCAAAATGCAGTGTGTTGTTGGTTTCTTTGTGCTTTGGAAACATCCCAAGGTGCTCCATGCCTGTGCTTTTGTGAGCTGAGTGAGCTAAACAGAGAGGTATTCAGTGGGAGCAAAGCAAAACTGATAAAGAACCATAAATTCTGCCTTTCCCTTTCCATCAAAAGCCACAATTAATGTCAGAGGCCAGAATCTTTTTTTTTTCAGCATCAGTGCTTTATTAATGCAGCATGGACAAATACATTTTCTGAATAAAAAACAATCAGGTAAAAAAACAAATATTTCCCCCACATACCTTTCATACTTCTACATACGTGATTACAAAAACTTTCTGCTCATTTTGTCACTTTTAATACCTAAAAGTGCTGGCTGGAGGTAATGGATACTCCGGCATATTTACTCTAAAGCCTGATGGCGTCAAACTCACACTTCACAAACTCTTCTGTGTTAAGTTTTGGCTGAGCTCCCTCACAGAGTCTGAGACTCTTAGTCAGAATTTCCTTGCTGAAGTGGAAGATTTCTCCATGTGGAACATGGAATGCCACTCCGATGTTATCCCACATGTACTCTTCTCTGGCTTTTACAGGTATCCGAATGGCTTTCATGTTACGAGACAGCCTGGAACGGTGTGTTTTACTCATCGCCTGTGGACGCCAGATAATGGTGTTTTCATGGAACCCACACACTGCATCCTGGGTATCCTCGAGCAGGGGATACTTAGAGAACAGCTTGCGTGCACGAGGCGCATGAATCACAATAGAATACATCACTTCCTGCTTATAGACCACAGTCTCAAAAATCCGAATGTTGGGCTTCTGGCCTGCACAGAACTGCTGTTTGTAACTTCTCAACAACTCATGGATCGACATGCTGAAACGGAAGTTCCCCATGCGAGAGGATGACAAAAAGGCAGGGGAAGTGGTGAACTTGTGCAGAAAAGGTTTTTCTGTGTCAGTGTGTTGGTCATCCAGGTATCGCTTCTCAGCTTTAGTAATATCACCTCTGGAAATGTCTGGGCTCCACCATACCAGATCATGTTTTGGTGAGTGGCTGCATGTCGGCTTTTTAAATCCCTCCGAATCCCAGATGCCAAGGAATCCTTGGAGGTTAGTGTTATGCCGAAGGTATGACACTCGAAATTCCACATCCTCAGGGTGATCTGGGATTGTTCTATAGAGGTAGTCATTCCGTATTCGCATCCATTTGAGCTCTTTAAGCTTCAGGTGCCGCCCATTATAGTATAGTTCGCTATGTCCTCTGTCATTGGTACGTAACATGCTTTCAAGGTTGAGAAAAGCTGTTTATGAGATGAAATCACTTCTGAAATGGGAATGTGATGACTTGTTGCACTGTAAGAATGTAAATGTTGTATATTTTATCATGTTAGCATTCTCCAGTTTATATGTAATATTTTTGACAAATACTCAAGGCAACTCTTGTATGTCAACCAAAAAAAAAGTTATTTTTAAAACAGAAAAAGACTGAGATCTGAATTATGACAATCAAGCATGTTCTCCAGAAATAGCCTATTTTTCACCATCGTTTTCATGATGTCTGTAAATAGCCTTTGTTACGATATTTGTGATCTATCACTTCTCAAAACGGCCGAGATTGGTATTTCTTCATTTACATGCTATCAAAACTGCAGGCTAACAGTCCCCGGTAAAGTTATATTTGAGCATTATTTCCCTCGAATCACCAAATCACTTAAAAATGACAAAATTTATGTCCAGATGCACATTTTTCCAAGAATACATTAAACAATTCTAATTAACTGAGTCGGGTTGAAGCATATTAAACTCAACATAACGTACAATAGGAAAAAAGTAATGAATCCGAGTCATCTCTTGTTTAATATTTCCCAGGGCACATAGGCCTATACTAAAAACTAACGTTAACTGAATTATAATTGCCACCATTTAGAATTAAACTTTTATTTGTGATGACCCGAGCTGACGCAAAAAGTTAATTGAAATGTTTGCGCTTTGTAAAGTACCGGCAGTTCAAGCATTTTCATAATATCTAATTCGTAAAAAAAAAAAGACTTTGATTCTCGAACTCATTCTTGTTAAGTACGGCCGCTGTTGTCACAGGGGGAAAAAATTCACCTTGCAAGCCCCAAAATCTGGATACCAGAAACGTTATCTCACGCGCACACGGTTGAGCATTCTAACATCTCGAGTGCCTGCTGGAAATACAAATATCATAGCCCACAGGAAATGGCTTAAAGGCAGAGTAAGTGATTTTTCAAAAACACTTTAGAAAACTGATTCGGGCCGAATCGCAAAACAAACTTGTAGCCAGTCTTTTTTTTACCTAATTCAGTTTTTGATCAGCATTACCAAAATATTTTACAGGTCGTAGCCTACTTACATGAGGTAAAAAGCTGCTTTGGTAGTTATTTGCCTTACTAAACATCCTCACATAAAAAAAACACTCACACAAAAGAATAAATAAATAGCATAAATAAATAAATAAAACAGTAGGGTATTTGGTGTAGGTGCTCAGGAAGTTGACAAAAATGTTTGCATTTGTAGCCTACCTAACAGCCAAATTAACATTCAGATATTCATGATAAGGGTTAAATTAATGTATCTCTTCATGATAAGGGTTAAATTAATGTATCTCAGCTAAAACTATTAGATTACTATTAGATGTACAATAAAAATATTACGTTATTTAAAGAAAGATTAAGTAATTTAAGTTATTTTACGTTAGCCTATAAGAAATGGTAGTAGGCTATCTGTTTTCTGTGGAGATCGAAACTGTGGACATGCCTAACAGACCAGAAACATGTCCAAAACAAGGAAAAAGGGTAACAAAAGTTTCACTAAAGAATTTGGAGAGCATTTATTTTTCTCATGGTTGCGTTACAACATACATTCTTGTAAATTTTAGACAACCCTATTTCCAGTCCATGTTCATTAAATAATAATAATAATAATAATAAAATTGAAATCCTGCTAATAACAATTTAGAAATTCTGTATTAGGCCTACAACGTGTAGGCTCCTAAATAATAATCATGAAAGACAGAATCGGCAGTGTAGTATATTCCTTTTCCTTTTTCTTTTTGAAATAGGCTATTTCATAGAGTTTGAATAATTTATGGCAATTACTAGATCTACCATCTTAAATTAATTCCTGTGTAGTAAAAATTAATAGAAACAGGCTAGTTATTTAAAAAAAGAAAGAAAAAAGAAGATTATTCACTCACCGACTTGCTGTATCCTGTTTCTTTGTCTTGTAGATTCGGTCAAAACAAACTAGAACAAGTCATGTAGAAAAGGGTTTCTTCAAGAGCCGTTATGATTTAACTTCAAAATAAAAGCCCTATTCACGAACAAAGAAAATGAGTGGCTAATTAGGTGGTTGTCATTTTTAACAAACATATTTTATTCAAGTAAATAATGTTCTGGTTCCTGAGCTAACTTATCTCAAGAGTTTAAAATGAATGAAGAGTAATTTCAGTTGTAAGGGAGGAGAGAAAAATAAAGGACAAGGACACAAATAATCAATGAGGAACTCATAGCTCAACAATACACCATGAGAAAACATGCTCATGAATGTAAATTATTAATTCTTATTAGTCTTTTTTTGACAGTTCTGCAGCTGTTACCTGGATGAGATTAATTTAAAAAAAATTGCTTAAATTAGGACTACATTAAATCTAAATAATTTAGCATTTTTGTAAAACTTTTTAAAATGTCAAAATGTATATGACATATATGCTTATTTATTATGTATATATTTTTGATTAATATAAATTATAAATTAATAAATAGGGTCCAACATTAATTATAATCTATTAATTCATCTGTCTAATAATGTCTAAAAATAGAATAATTATGTCTATCAAGCTCTAACAGACTATCCAAATTTTCATAAAACAATAGGGTTATGAAGCACAGATGTGTCTGTCACTTTAAAGGTATGGTTTACCCAAAAAAATTAAAATTCTGTCATAATTTACCCAGGTTGTTCTAAACCTGCAAGTTTTTTCTTCTGTTGAACACAACAGAAGATACTTTGAAGAATGTGGGTAACTAAACAGCTGCTGGTCCTCATAACTTCCATAGTAGAGAAAAAATGCTATCAGAGTCATCGGGGACCAGAAACTGTTTGGTTGCCCACATTCTTCAAAGTATTTTCTTTTATGTTCAACAGAAGAAAGACATTATTACAGGTTTGGAACAACTTGTGGGAGTGTAAACGATGACAAAATTTTCATTTTTGGGTGAGCTATCCCTTTAAGTTAGACAGTCCGCCGTGAACAAATGCTTCTCTGCAAACTGCGCGTTCATCATTAGTTACTGGACAGACCCATTGATAACTTTCCCGTTCAGCTCTACATCTGGAGAGTCTTGTGTTCAAAGTGCGGACGTGAGCTCCTCGATGTTTTAAACCGCGCAGGTTTAGCGCAATCTGCGCTCTCGTGAAAGGGCTTTAACGGCGCGCGTTCTGGAGACTCCATCATCGCCATGGAAACAAAGACGCCAAGATGAGCTTCTCTAACTTCTTATGAAATTAATTTCATTATAATTGCTATTAGCATTATAAACGGTGCAAAATACTTATTTGTTAATTCAGCTTGTTGGCCTTTGTAAAATATGGGACAAATTGCGTCCCGTATTGATTTGATATGGGACGCATAATTTTACCTTAAAGGGGTCATGATGCGATTTCAATTGTTCCTTTCTCTTTGGAGTGTTACAAGCTCTTGGTGGATAAAGAAGATCTGTAAAGTTGCAAAGACTAAAGTCTCAAATCTAAAGAGATATTCTTTATAAATGTTAAGAGTCAGCCACACCTACCTAAAACGGCTCGTTCTAACAGGAAAACTTGAAATCGCATCATATGACCCCTTTAAGGGACGGGTGTCAACCCTAGTTGTAAGTGTTGAATTCACATCCATTTTATATTCATTTTCAGAGCTATGCGGGCACTTTTCTCACTTTGTCTTCTTATTATTATTACTACTACCCCAGACAAAATATAGTAGAGTGTTTTTAAAAGAAATAAAGAAATATTATTTTAAAATATTTTTTTTCTTTTTCTTATAGTCTATATATTACATTTGTAGAAGTAGTCTGGGTATTATGAGAGCCAGAAACATTTTGAAGGCTGCATGCCCTTTGTGACTGTGTATAAACGTGAGATTCACATGGGAAGGTCTAAGAGCCATATGTTGCAAACTATCATTTATTAAACTTTTCTGTTGGACAGTCCTGGGAAATGACAAATAAAGTTTTTTTTTTTTAATAGACTGACTGACAGGATCCCACCATTTGAAAAAAGCTAAAAGGGCTCATCATTAATTGTGTAAAACAAAAAGTATGGAGGAAAACAAATGGGTATATATTCACTGGGCAACAGCTGGAAACAAAAAATGTTAGAAGGAGAATCTGGAATGGAGCAATTCAGCTTTAACGACGTGTGACGCAGTCAACTCTGTCTGTGTCTGTAAAGGTGTGAACTAATTGGTCCATACATCTAGAACAACAAAGTGACAGTGTTCCTCAGAAAATCTAAAAATGCACAAAGTTTCCTGTGAGGGGTAGGTTTAGGTGTAGGTGTAACAGAACAGGTGAGGCTCCATAGCTCAGTGGTTAGAGCACTGGTCTTGTAAACCAGGGGTCGTGAGTTTGATCCTCGCTGGGGCCTGAATGATGTCTAAAAGACACTTTTAAGCAAGAATAAAAAATAATTTGCAGACAATGTGACCATAAATACAATATAATAGCAGCAAAATGGTTGCAGATGTGCAAAAGGCAATCATACAGGCACGCAGGAGCGTTATCTAGTGATGTCAACATGTATCTAAAAGATTATACGTGTCTCAAATTGTGTACTTATGCACTATTCTACACCATTTTGTGGTATAAATAGTGTGACTGTGCTCACACTGAAAATTCCAAACTGAAACTTTAACCAAACAAAAAACTATGTGTGGAATGTTGGACACTTCATGCATTCTGTCGCAGCTTTAACGACGTGTGTGATGCAGTCAACTCTGTCTGTGTCTGTAAAGGTGTGAACTACTTGGTCCATACAATTAGAACAACAAAGGGACAGTGTTCCTCAGAAAAGTTCCTGTAGCGTATCCATATTAGATTATGATTCTCCATGTATCTATTGTTTGTGACATTTGTTTTCAGACATAAAGGTCTGTCCCACAGACAGAACTTTGTGTTATGATTCTTTAAAGGCTGACACGCTAACATCTCTGCTGAAGAACTGTGCTACACTACTAGTTTCATTAAATTCTTCTCCCAAAAACAACTTTGGTCAAGCTTGCTTATTTTGTTTATTAGCAGATATTGAAAACATTGGTGATGCAGTGTGGTCCAGGCAGAAGGACAATAATGATGCATGTCAGAGATAGATCAAATTTATATAAGGAATAACAAATCACTGTCATACTGGTGACCAAGGCAAATTCTTTTGTAAACTGAGAACTCAGATGAACAGTTACATAATCCATAACAAGAGAAAATTTAATTTCGGTTTTATTTATAATTTCTGTGAATGGCAAATTTCAGTACATTTAGATAATACATAATATAGGGTATATATAAAATACATAATATATGGTAGGCCTGAGAAGCATGTTATCACATCACAAGCAATCACCTATTTGTCATCTTTAAACAAGGTCAATGTAGTGACCCTTAAAACAAAAACCAATACTGGTTGCAACCAAGCAAACATGATTGTTTGATAGTGTAAACAAAAGAAACTCAACAGATAGACACACCCCTTACAGAGACACACAGTGCCAGTACCTTTCATATGGTAATCAGGACACTACCAGAACAGGTGAGGCTCCATAGCTCAGTGGTTAGAGCACTGGTCTTGTAAACCAGGGGTCGTGAGTTCGATCCTCGCTGGGGCCTGATTAATACATAGAGGACACTTTTGAACCAATATCAAAAGTGTTTACAGACGTAAATGATTGTCGATAGAACAGAATCGTGCAAATACAACTTATTTCAAAAAGTGAAACTTTCACATATTCTAGATTCATTACATGTAAAGTAAAAAGTTTTAATTTTGATGATTATACCTTACAGCTCATGAAAGTCAAAAATCCAGTATCTCAAAATATTAGAATATTTACATTTGAGTTTCATTAAATGACCATCCCAAACAGAATAGTTCAAGTTCTTTAAAGTATGTTCATTTATGCACTCAATACTTGGCCGGGGCTCCTTTGGCATAAACTCCAGCATCAGTGAGGTGTGGCATGGAAGCGATCAGCCTGTGGCACTGCTG